CACACGCTGACAGTGACAGTACAGACAGCATCTTCCGTCCGGACTCCGGGGCAGATCACGGGGTTTACTTTCTTTTCGTTCTAGAAGCCTATAAAATCGAGGTTAAATTTAGTCCAATCTTTTTGCTTCTTCTCGTTTCATAACAGGTCATCTGCCCTATGGATACTGGAAAACCACTGGAAGTTGTCGATTAGTGAAGGAGGCTGTCTCCCTCTTTCTCCTCCCCAAGCCTACCGCACATAGTACGGAGTATGCATATGTATATACAATGCAGGCCCCTGTGATAAACTTCATGCTACCTTCAATAATAGCAGCATATGATTATAAGCGACGCTCGATGGGCTCTCGATTCACCATCCCAAACATTATTGCGAATATGGCTTGCCTATAGGTGGATGGATTGCCTGTTGCTTCCATGCCTATACCGTGAATATAGCATCGAAGTGACATGGAAGCCTGATCTTTGTAATCTGGCTTCGTCCAGATATACCCAGGGAGTGACATGGGTAGGCGTATCGACCTTACCTTTCAATGGCTCAAGATCAATGGTCGTGCATGGTGACGGCATGATACTTGAGTGCATCCCCACCTTGTGATAATCGACGTAATAATTACGCCGCTCTGCTGGTCTATCCATGCAACGCAATGGTGTGCTATGAACAAATATCGCTGGATCTTTTATTGGCTTGCAACAAGCTAGCCATTGTCAACACTGTGGGTTTAGTCAAAGAGTCTTTATTGGTAGACTGCCCTTGTCGCGTTGTGAGATAGGTGCATTTACCTTCTCATTCTGTTATACGATCTGCTTCAAGCGTGGCCTAGTGTAGCCAGTAAAACTTCAAAGAAATCTGGAGTGATGCATGAGAGCCTCATTTTTTTCGTGTCATATGTCATTTGTATGCTTATATATCTATCACAAAGATCTTCGCCAGTGAGAGAAGGACAATAAGCGATATAAATACGGAGTAAATATTTAAATATCGACCGTCATACCATGGTTGACTGCACATTTTCGGTACATATTTATGTTTAGAAGCTGGGCATACGGCTCCTCGTGGAATATTCGATCATTGGCGTGATCTTCAGGGAATTGATCCTGTTTCTTTGGAACGGCAATAAGAACCGAACAACGAAGTCGGCAAATGAACAGAACAATACGCTAATATGGCTACCAGCAGTTTACCAGGCCCCCTGTATACACACAGAAGGTCAGCCTGTCCGTATCCCGGAATGTGTTGGCTATCCTGTGCCGTTATATGGTCGTACTGGTACGAAAGGACTTTGTCTGGGGTAAAGAGCTAGCTACCATGGTCACCTCCCTGGTCGCTTCTTGCTCTCCTTTTCCATTCTTTTTTTCTTTCCATAATAGATCTCTATATGGCACTATTAGCGCGGATCTTCAATGTTGCTCTCATCGTAGAAACAATCAGGTATGAGAGGCACTCCTTAATCCTGTATAACCCTTTTCATTATTTTGTGCATTTTCATCCCCCACTCCTTTTTTCAAACACGGATATCCTATTACGCGGGTGAGCCTGGTTAAAGGGTGTTCAGTATTGTGTTTTAGAACGTCTCCGTACGGAACATTACCAAAAGTTCGGCTTATGTTAGATAATGTATCCGTTGTAGCTTCGATATCATCTATGAGCCGATTCACCATGGTATGCCTAGTAATATCGACGGACGGCTAGAGTGGCCGAGATACTCCATCGTTATCACATCTTTTCGTTCGTTTTTCTGTTATCCATAAGAATGTTATAGTACGGAGCTGTATTCTCTATACCTGGCTGGGAAGTCTTCTGGCAAGCTTGTAGTTGAAATTGAAATGCCATTCACACGAGTGAAACCACCGCAAGGCCTGAGGGTGAACGTAGTTATAGACTAGGCGATCTCAACTGTGTCTACCAACTGCCCATCAGCACGGAGTACTCCGTATGTATTGGTACTGTTGTGGCAAAAGCAGAGTAAGGTTAAGTGATTGGAGTGGGAAAATCCCCCGCTGGTGCATCGATAAGTAATCCTACCACACCATCACAAGATCTACCCCTCCTTCATATTTGCAATATCATGTTATTAGGAAGGTAGGCATGTGTGTATATATAAATGTATCAACGTATATCAGAGTTAACGAGGCTTTCCTTCGCTGGCCCGCCTTTGCATGTTTTTTTTTTAGAAGCTGCAAGGGCACTTGAGATGGCTCAAGTAAATAAGTGGGTGTAGGATGTGGTCGTTCCATACTTTCATGATTTCACAACAGGCTAAGCTCCAATGACATGAGGTGCTGTGTCATACAATAATGATATGCTTCCCTGCGTATGCATTGAAGGGCGTAACCTGTTAGAGCTGCAAGCATAGGTTTGTAGATGGCTGGAGATAGGGTATGGCATTTGCTTTGTCTCTTGATATGATTGGAACCCCTAGTTCCCATTTCAAGATACTGGCATCATCAGCTAAGGCTGAAGCTTGACTGCAGGGTTCAGGGTTTGAATTTGACAGTCCATCATGCAAGTAAGCGTCGGTAAGAAGTCATATGCGATGGCTCCTGTGTATCAGCCTTGGTATCCATTCTTGCTTTCCATCTCCACGGAGCCCTCCGCTATATATGGGCGCACTGGGAAGAATTGATATAAGACCCTTATGTCAAATCTGAAGGATTAGGTATCATACTCAAGCAGCTGATCAATATGATACAAGAGCAGAAACCAAGGGAACAGAACGTATAGATCATTCCTTATCTCCACCGATGGATTCAATTAAGGCTGTGCAGAAGCGATACGGAAGGAATTAGGCTACCCCTTGAGCTGCATGGAATTACCTATATTGATATCAGGGCCTTGCTTTAGCCATAGATGAGGACACCATCTCGCGATATCCTCTGAAGAGGATGGAGAGTGAGTCACGGTTCCAAAACCCGAGATCTAAGAGCGAAGAGTGAAATGTTTAAATCAGAGTCATAAAACATCATATCACATAAAATAGAACCAAGCCTGCGCTCGTTGAATCCGGAATTTAACACCAGCGTTACACCGAACATATTCTCCACATTGGAAAATTTTAACCTATGTTTCTATTTATTACCCAGTTAGGCGCTCCACGTCATTTGAATATCAACTGTTCACTTGCCATCTTGAAGAATACCCTTGATATATCGCCTTTCCCTTGTGGTGTTTGGGAGGGCGGTCCTGTCCGAGGCTGGCTGCTGGGGATTTGTCAAGTTCAGGAGAAGTTAGTTTCTGGAGGCGTTCGTATACAAAACTTCTATGTTGGCTATGTGAAAGGGAGAATACATTCCCGGTTGCTGCTTGTGCATGTTGAAGGGGAAGTTGGTAACTATTCCTTGGAATGCATGCAATTTCCAGTTGCGGAGGTAGCTGCTCTAGCATAAAGGAGGATTGTGGGGAGAATGGCCAAGTTAGTAACATTGCTCAATGAGTTTGAAGGCCAATAGCATGGCGACAGACCGTGAAGTTCTTATGTTGAGGTTCCTTTAAAGTCGGGAGGTTCGAGCTTAGCCTCCATTTCCTATCAGGGTTTAGAGAGACACTAAAACAACTCTCTTTTAACCAGACCAGAACCAACAGCTGCCAGGATAAAAGAGAAGTATTACTCTAGTCTATTCCAATGCTGTCTCTTATTTTCTGTCTCGTCGTTGCATTTATTATAATAACTCCTCTTTATATCGTTTATAAACCTCCCAGGGTCGTCATCCGTTTCGCTCAGCGCAGATGGGGGGATATATTATGGCATGTTCCAACCTCTAAGAAGATAGTTGCGCTCACAATCGATGATGGACCGTCGAAATATACGCCGGAGATACTGCAAATACTTAAATCTAATGATGCAACTGCGACATTCTTTGTTATCGGGTCCCATGTCACTCCGGACCGTGAAGAGGTTCTACGTGACCTCATCCGCGATGGTAACGAGCTAGGCAATCATGCCATGCGTGACGAGCCCTCATGTCTGTTAGGCGAAGCTGAACTCATCCATAACATCAACTGTGTTCAGAAGATTATATCTGATATCAACTCCACTGCTGCTCCAGATAACATTAATAGTCAGGATGCAAAGGCTACTGCCACTCTGAAGAATCTCTATTTCCGCCCCGGGGGTGGATTCTTTTCCACTAAAATGCGTCGGACAATATCAAGTATGGGCTACCGCCTTATACTTGGTGATATTTACCCCCATGATCCATTCATACCATTTTGGAAAATTAACAATTGGCATATCCTGAGTTCATTGCTCCCAGGTGGAATAATAATTTGTCACGATGGGCGGTCCTGGACTCTTCCGTTATTACGAAAACTACTACCAGAATTGAAGCGTCGAGGGTACCGAGTGGTTACTGTGACAGAGCTATTGAGGGAAGAAAAATGAACTTGACAACAGATGTTGACCTGATGGATCCTGCTATGCTGTGAAATAGACGGTAGCTGGTGGTACCCTTTAAGGACAAGGCTACATGGTGAAATTTTCCAAAAAAAAGAGGGGGGTTGATGTTATGCCTATCTTCCATTAGCCTATATTGAGAAACAAGCATTAACCGGGTCCAAACACCGGGTTTCAAGAGCCGGGAGTATACGGAGACAACCTGTCATATAGCTTGATCGTTCTTCCAAATTTTAAACTATATATGCATTCTTTAGACATTATAGTGAGGAGATGCCGTATAAGCCGTTAGGTTGGATTGGGTATATATAGAAAGCCATTATATTGCGTTGAAAGTCTCAACGTGTTTTCAAACCATTCTGTGGGTTCGGATGAAGTAAAGGAAGTATATCCCATGGTTGACAAAGAGCTGAACGAAACATGTGGAGAAACGTTGTGATGGATGCGAGTCACAACCTTTCGGGATGTGAAGTAGAGATATGTACCATAAGTATCCCAAGATGCAGGCAAACAAACCTGCTTAAATGACTGGACAGTTTTGTGCTAGCTACCTAAGCTGAGTTCTGTGTCTGTCTCGCAAAACCATAGTAACCTTTGTGGACGGCGGAGCTGACTTGATCAGATCTATCAACTTGCGCAAGCCCCTCTGAGCCTCGTCAACTGACAAAACAGAAGCCTTGCCCCTTTCCCTGTGTATCTAAGTAGCTGCAGAAGCGCTGTTGATAGATCTGATAGTCCCTAGTCTGCTCACGTGCATGCGGCTCACTGACTAGTTACATAACTATCTGACTCACTCTCTACTTCTTCGTCGTCATCTTCTTCATTTTCTCCTCGCCAGCGCCTGAAATCAAAGAAGAGCACATCACAAGTTGCCTCGGAGCCCGTCATCCAATTTTCTGTTTTGTTGAATCTATTCTATTGTTTCTTCTTTGCCTTCTGAACTGTCGTTCTCCGTTCGCCCGTTTCTCAAGGTCACCGGATGACCTGCATGGCGAGGGACAACGCACGCTTGCTAGGGCCTATCATCGATACTTGCAGTGAGTACCGGTACAAAGTTACACTGAAAAGTATGTGATTCTATGCTTTGCTTTAGCGAAAGTGATTAAGTTCCACATATTTTGATGTCCGCGAAACCTCGTCTCAACCGTTTTTCGTTGGGCTGATAATTGATGCAGGTCACGGACTTTGCAGCTTTTAGTTACTCGGGAGATTCTTCTTGTTTTACCCTTTTCCGATAGAACCTTGGACGGCTTTCGTATTTGGATAAAGGGTTCCGAAAACTCTTTTGGCAATTTGTTGCTGTTTTGCAGTGACATCCTGTTGACTTCGAGCCTTGTAACCCGGAGCTCTGGAACTGTACGAAGTAACAACACTTCCCGTTTATCAGTATCTGAAGACGTCCATTTTTGGATCCTTGGTTTATTGTCCAGCGTGTGCAATGGCAGGTATACACGGTAAGTCAGTCAGTTGACGTCCATATACCCCTTTGAGCCATACGGCCGCATGCCGAAGCGACAGTCGATGAGTACAAGAGCAACGATGCCGTGTAAACAGACTGTTGTCGTCATCCCCTGCTGCCTAGTATATACGATATATAACCTTTTTTCCCATTTGGTTTTGCGGCCCCGATGAATTTCCCTGATTTCACACCCTGGCATGTTTGTTGCTTCACCAAGTCATGTTGCATACACCTCGCATTTGAACCTAAGATGGACGTAATGTGCATCAGTGATATTGGGTCCCGAAAGACTGGATGGGCGCCTATATGCATGCCAGTGAACGTCAAATCAGTATAACCCCAATGCTGCTTCTAAGAGAGACATGCTCATAATAGCTCATTCTTTAGGTGAAGATCCACCAGTGCCTCTCCGAGCGCCGCCTGAGCAAGCTCATCCCCAAGTTCGCAGAGGAGTAACTGCTAGCCACAGTTGGTTTGAAGGTAGGCTACTTGACCGCCCCCTATGTTTACATTTCAAAACCCAAACAAAACCGACCGAATTATTTTCTGGACTGTTCGGTATTTGGTATTTCCTTGACGTGGTTTTGCAATTACATTTTATTCCTTCCAATTATTGCAGCTTTGCTATATAATTAATTTTACATCTTCTCCAGACATGTGCCACAGAGTAGTTGTATCACAACACTACATGTCGCGCATTTGTGGAGCCTCTACCCGAAGAAACGATATTTACGGGATACACATTTGTATATTTGTATACTTTCGGATTGATCTCCACTTCCATCCCACGCTGCAATCCAAACCAATTCTTGCCACCTATGCTACTGATTGTCTTCAAGTAACTGACAGCTACCCAAGTGCCCTCCCACGGAAGCTATTGTTCCCTCAGCTATGAATCAACGGCCGAGCCTTTTCAAATGGAATCGGAAATGCCCGATCAGTGGAGGAATGACCCTTGTGGAACGGAGTTCTTTCCAAGTGAGAGCGGCTCGCCCAAAATCGAAGAAGCAAGGGGGTTCACAAGGCAGCTATTTGGGCTACCTCTAAGCAACGAGAGTCCAACATTTGCTCCCGATAACTCTCACCCGGTTCAGAAGCCTGTATCACGCGTGGAAAGGGAGAACCCGAGGGAGTTTCAAATAAACCAAATCCGCCGTAGGTTCAACCCGACGGAGCGCCATGACACCCATGACACTCATCTGACGTTCAATATGAGACCATCGGATCCGGACTTTTCCTGCGATATTGTCGGCTTAGATTGCATTTTAAACGTCCCCGCGACCTATCCAACCTATGGAGAACCATCTCTAGAGGTAATAAACGGAGATCTAGACACGGATAAAAGAAGGCTTGTGGAACAAAAGTTCAAGCAACTTTCTAAGGATGCCAAGTCTGGTAACCTATTGTATTGCATGAATGCCCTCGACAGGCATCTTGCAAATCTTCTTTCTGCCACTCCCGTTTCGGAGACATATGATCCCATAAACCAAAAGGGGCTGGTGTCCTCTTCTTCGACCTTGGATTATAATGTTTCTTCAGGAATGAGTAACCGGAAAAAAACGGTATCCATGGCATCAACGATAAGAGATCCCCAAAGAAGAGTGAAAGAAATTGAGCAGTTGAAGTCCCGCTTGGGCAAACACCCTTTATTCCTGGCGCATTCAGATGGAATCAGATTTACTATTGCCATTAAGCCATTTCAGCAAATGTTGCTACCGAATGCTCTTAGGGATTTAAAAACTATAACCCTCATAGTGCCGTCAAGTTATCCCAGTGAGCCGTGTCGAATCACGATTCCCGAAATTAATGATAGTTCTGCCCGATTTACGGAACAAGCATTCTATCAACATTCTACGGATAATCCTGGAGTCAGTCTAACTGCCCATATTAACTACCTCGCAGCAATGATGCACAAAATATCATATCAACAATCCGTTGAGCTAGAGATAGGCCTTCATGAAGATTTGGGTGGAGTATCCCTGGAAGAATATCCTCCTGACAATGACTCGCCACCATCACTGCATGTAGAAACGTCCGCATTAACCGCCGTTCACGCAGAGGCCCACAATCTAGAAGATAAATCTCATATCCAAGTTATCCCTAGACCCCCTGAGTGGGAGACCCCTGAGGAGAATGACGGCGAAGCAAGCGATGAGCAGCCAGTTATGAATGAACCTAAACATGGTGGGGGTGGCCGTAAGGTCCTAATATCATGCCCAGCGCTTGAGCTTCAAGGGATTGAGCTGCTTGAGTTAAGGAATCTGTCCCTGACCCTTAGATGTGCTCGATGCAAGAAATTACAGGACATAAAAAATATTAAAATTGGGGACGATGGCTATAGTATTCCTCATGATAGGGTTGAAAGTTGTCAGAAGTGCTCAAATCGCCTCAGTGCAGGTAGGCAAAAGGCTAAAGATATTGTGCTCATGCGGCCAGGAGTGGCGTAAATAGCTAACTTCTCCCTCTCCTTAACCCATATTCACGCATTAACTGCAGATCTTCTTGACTAATAACCAATTTATCTGTATTTTCTAGGTTTCTACCGCGAGCTCATGCATGCTGGCGTGAACCGGGCGGGTACATTAACCCTCGAAGGATGCACTCCTGCGGATTTACTTCCAAGGTGAGAAAAGAGAGAGAAGAGGTGAATGTTATGGCCCATTAACCCACCCCCTCTTACTCCTACCGTCATACAAACAGCCATCAACTTGTGGGACTTTGATGAAGCCTTGGTTAATGCATATACTTAGCAATTTTACCCCGACATGTTCAAAATGTTCCACCACATATCCAGCACCAGGCGTCACAGCCTTCCAAGGAGATGCCTCTATGGCGTTTTGCCGCGCCTGTCACCAGAAAATGAGTATGTTCTGTCTTACACTGGAGAGCATATACCATCCAATCTAGTCCCTGCCCGCCTTAACCGGGATCTCCCATTGATCAGATATATTGGTCTTTTGACAACTTACGAATCGGGGTCTTAAATGATAGGCTTTAAACTTCCTGATACTAAATTTTTACTCGTTGGTGATGTTCATGGTAAGTCAGATGGTATTAGTTATTCTTCTTATTTTATTTCCCCTCCGAGCATGCAGGACTTGTTGTCCGTCCTGATTGAGCCCCTGTTCATGTTTCATTTCAGATAGCCTGCTCCAGGCGTTCTCATCCCAAATATGCGGGGGGCAAATTTCTGGGATCTGAATAACCCACCCTGCATGTCATTTCGTAGATCTTTCCAAGGTCTTTCCGGGGAGATTTATTTTCCCAAGTTAAAGTTGGGCTTTTTTAATTTCCCCATTTTATCTATCCAAGCTGAACATGCAATTTCCTTACACCAATTTGATTTGCTATTGAGTTGAAAATCAACGCATGCCCTTCATTTTAGCTTCTAGCTATCGACTTAGAAGGCTTACGACGGTTATTGATTCCAGATATTTTACGCCCGGGTCGGCAGCACAAAAAGGTTCGTGACCGGCTCGCAAACCAGAATCTTACCATTACCCTTACGATATACTACTGCCTAAGATTCGGCTTTTACACAAAAAGCTGATTGAGAGATTGAACCGCTGACATGCCTGTGTCCTGGAACTATTTAGCGAAGTGGGCTGCTGGGAATCACCGCAGGAAGTGAACTACCTCGTCAAGGGGGATGTGTTCATTACAGCAAGAGCCATAGGTGGTTTAGGTGAGTTCCTAAATATCCCCTCTTGTAATTAGTTGCTGTTATATATAGATATGACAATTTTCCTGACGCTATGATATAGATTCAGCTGCTGTTCAAGGGTATTCCCCTGCGATAGGCAAGTAATTTCTATCTGAGCAAGACAACGATGTTACGTCTATCTCTTTTTATCACTATGTTCTGACTATATACGTGATTCAAGGTGCCACGATAACTCATCAGACCATCCATACGAACATGCGAACCGAATGATCTGGTATGTATGCCCTTATCCTACGACAACACTATCTATATCCAACTATAGCTACCGCAAATTTACGTGACCGCCATCTAATAATTACAGTGGATTCTGTTCTCGTGAACAACTATATCGACCAGAAACCTGTGGACTCTGCCGATCTTTGCTTGTTGATAAAGCTACGACTGGTTTCTGGGAGGGAGGAAAGGGAACTAGAAATAAGCAATTGATGAATAGGAAAGGTATGTGGCCATAAAAGACCACCATAGCCAAGTTATTGAGTGCTAATATTACATCTGATGATTAGACCCGCGGAAGTACAAGAGGCCTGATTCAGCTGCGCCAGGGCCATCAAATACTAGATAGTTACTATGGTGGAGCAAATGGTAATGTCTGCCTCATCAGTATCAATTACCTGTATAGGTATAATGTATTGTGTGCTGGATAACTCGATGAATTTTAAATATTCTACATCTGAATACCTAAAGCGTAACTATGGCGGCAGCTCTTTATATGTACTGTAGGCTGATGGGTACGGGATGAGATTGATACTGATAATTATTTGAAGTACCTTTCTTGATTACTACCTTGCTCATTCTATGCTACCCGTACTGCTTCCGAGTGCTTGTAAACTAATCCCAATATCTAGATATGCAATGTATATTCATTCATTCATAATAATAGTGATATGGAAGGTGTAAGTTAGCGCAGGTTATAACTTGCCCACCATATAACCCGGTTACAACTGCCTGCCGTACGCCTGCGCCCCCCCATAGCTCTAGCATTGAATACATCATTTCTTAGATGTCCATAGCTTTTTTCATTAGTGCGATATCTGACCAATCAGCCTTCTGAATACGCAGTATTCTAAGTCTCCCATGCCCTGTAGGAAATTGGGAGATTGGGGACCGTGGATGACTATTATTTTCTGTAAATGAGGAGCCTTCTTGAGAGATAACGCCAACAACTCGGCACATTTTGGATCGCCCTTGGCCGCGGTCGAGTAATTTTTGTTTGTTGTTTAATTTTGCTCCATGGCCATTACTTCCATCTTCGCTCAAGAAATATCTACCTACCTGGTTGAGATAGCTATTTTGTTGCCACCCACGCCATTCCCCCATTAGATAAGGAGGGTGTGTGGGAAAGAAAATATCTGAAAAGATAAAAATCTGGGAAGGCCCACTGCGGTAAGATTTAGACACAGAAGCATAGAGCTCCACCACGGTAGTTGTTCGAAGGTTATCTTCTGCCCTCATGTCTGGTATATTGCGGGAGGCTAGAGTTTCACCAATGCGAAAACATGTGCGGAGGAGGATTTGGTCTGAACTTAAACCTTGAACTGCGGATGGGCTGCTTGTGTGTAGAGGGAAGTTGGATCTAACAAATGGTTCGACGCGAGGAACCTAGGCGGCCAGTTAGCTTAATATTGAGATGTATATTCCTTTTATAAGTGGCCTTTAATTATGGGTCAGAAAAAAAAGAGACTATTTCTTTTTCATGTCTAACCTACCTCCATGTCAGAAATATAGGCTATATCGTTTACAGCGGAGATTTTAGTGGCATTAATATTTTTATTACCCGTTGCGGGTTTTGGAGGGAGCCTGGTTTTCTCAATGGTTTGCTTCTTTGTAGACGTTTTAAGGTTGCGCGGACTTTCGCTCCCAGGGAAGAAATCCACCCCGGGTATACTGTGTTGACCATCAGTGCCGGGAATACGGTTGGAAATACCACAGTTCAGTTGCTTAGTAGTGCGAATGGTAGAATTAGCGCGGGAATTCATGTGTGTATTTCCGACTTTCAACACCATGTCACTGTTGGTTGAGGGGAACCTATGGGTATTGGCAACATAGTGATCGAACTCCAACCAAAGATTGCCATCTATGACGCTCTAGAGCTAAAACGTTAGTTTAAAGTAGTAAAACTATGATAGAGATATGTTGTTATTTACCCCAAATTCATCACATTCATGGATGTCTGAAGCCTCAAATCCTTTATCCTCTTCAAAGCTCTGGCAAGAGGAGGGAGTTTCCGAAGTTGCAGAGTTTTTAGGTGACAGAAAAGATGCTACTGTTGAAGTGGAATATACGCTCGAACAGGTGGAACAGGTGATCTGAGTGTTTTCTTTATGAAGGGGATAATCGTATGCTAGAACCTGTTTCCCTCGCGGTACTATGTCATATTCTCCAGTGAAGAAAGGGTATATATCTTTAACAGTCACTGTTTCATCGGAATTCCAGTGTTCTGGAGTTCCAGTTGAATGGGTATTTGTGGGATGACAAGTAGAATTCTCATAAACGACGGGGTTATCCTCCATATCTGAGGAAGCTTCAGTCCTGTTATCTATGAAATATGTAGTTATAACAAGCACATATGATGCTGGCTATCTGTAGATGTTTGATCCATTAATAGTGCTTCATTTGTGTAAGTTGTTTACCTTGGTGTTGACGTTGTAGAAGATCAGTTCTCATTGGATGCCTAACCAAGGACCGTTCAAATAAAGTCAATTACTAATGTAAAGCTTATGTAACATTGATGTTCTGTCCGCTAGCAATATTGAGCTTCAAGATATGAGACCAAGATATGAAAACCCAAGGTGAAGACCAGACTTGATACAGGATTACGCAAACGGAAGGGAAGCACATGGTTTAAGAACAGAATACGAAGATGTCATATGCGTTGGCTTCTAAGAAACGAAAGTTCCACCGCGTCCTTGACTCAATCTCCCTCGGATCCTCCCAAAAATCAAGCTCACCCCAGCCGTCGCTGGCAGGAGAGGATAAGCTAATGTTGAGCGGAACGGCCCAAATAAACCCTTCAATAAAACGCGTTCGACTATCACGAGGCGAAAATACTGATGATTCAACTCCATTACCTTCGAGAAATACTCTGTCTCGGCACTCGACGCCTTCGACTACATCTCTACGGCCCAGCTTCGTCCCTTGGGATCGCGAGCGGTTTTTGGAACGGTTGGAGACATTCCGCAACGTTGAACGGTGGAAACCCCAACCGGACGCTATAAATGAAGTACAGTGGGCGAAAAGGGGATGGTCCTGCACCGATAAAACCAGAGTTGAGTGCGTAGGCGGGTGTGGGCAGTCTGTTGTTGTTAAACTACCCGATGACATAGATGAGTTGGAAGAATATGACAGTGAAAAGATAGCAGATCGGAGGGAAGTTCGTATGTGCTCCAAATGGTGTTCAGGCGGAAAATTGGCGTCTTTGCTGACAGGCTATGGTTATAGGAGCCCAATTGGTCATCAAATATCAAAACTTAATCGTCGAAGGGCACGCAGAAAAATGCCCATGGAGGAAATCAGGGTGCGATGGTATGACTCTGAAATGTTAGAATATATTTCAAGTAATATATGCTAATGCTTCCATAGACTCAATCCAGCGTTTGCCTTTGACCAAAGCGGAGACTGCACTGCATAGTCTCCAAACACGGTACAAAAACCTTTTATCTGCGGGTAGCAGGCTTCCATCGATGGAAACCCTCATTCTCCCGGAGAAATTTGACCAGGAGTTTATGTTAGCGTCTTTACCTCCCGAAATTCTTGCTGGTGGGGGCCCTGCAGAAATACATACGCCGGCTGATGTTCCGCCGAGTGAGGAGACAGAAGATTCTAGTGAAAAGCCCTTATTCACTGCCGATAAGACTGCTTTGGCCCTTGCATTATTTGGATGGGATATCTCTGGAGATGCAAATGCAGGCCTGGTTGGCTGTAAGGCTTGTTTTAGGCGACTAGGGTTATGGATGTATAAACCTAAGGGGGATGG